CTCAATTTACTATTGTATTTTAAACATAACTGTCAATAGCAAAACATGAAATTCCTGAAATACAACACAATAGTTGTATTTCCAACCTCAAATAAGACGACTATTTTCACAAACAAGAGAGCTTAGCCTTTGTGTTTTAATTAACTACTTATTCTAATTACCACAGAATTTGGATAAAGTCTTTTAAGGTTTTCCAGAACTACAGCTCTCTTCCATTGACGTTTTCCCTCATGGTCTTCAATTCCAGCATTCTACAATTCACTTCTCATGAGACTAAGTTCTTCATTAACTTCAGACATTCTTGATTTTGTGTGCTCAATCTCATCTACCAGGGTATGCTCCTGCTGCTGCTTCTTTTCTAGGCAATCTCTACAGCAGGAACAGTAATAACCAAATTTGGGAACTACCAGGGAAAGCATAACCTTGTCTTGCACTGCAGGAGAACAGACAGTGCTTTATCAAGTTTAAAGGACAAAAACATGCAGTACCAAACCCAACATGAAACACAGGCAAAAGAAAAGAGCTTTTGATCACTCTGCTGGTTCCAAAAATACATATTTGTGGATATTGCAAGAGTAAGGATAGGTCAATATAAACCAGAGCAATCATCATATGCTTATTAATAACAATGCAATGCCAATTAAAGTCCTAAGTGGTCAATACCCCAGGGGTATTAGTAGAACACAACTCATTCTTTATAAAATATCATTATCAAAAGGAAATTTCAGTTTTGTCACTGTTGCACATTTACATTTTCAAACTTTAAACACCTTATTTATAGTTCCAAAATTTAAAAATATTGTGTGGTTAAGTATAATTTTTAACAATCTATAGAGAAAAAGCAGTGGAGAATATGACATAGCATTTGTGTGAGGCACAAATATACAGGATCCTTGAGATCCAAGAAAGCTGCAAAGGCTCTGTTCTACCTACATGCATGTATTTGTGTACTCCTCCAACTTCTCTACTCAACTTTTGTGATAATCTATTGGTTCTTTTATTTATTTTAGATTTCCCTACATAGGAAATGAAATCATAAATTACAACATTCCAAACCAGTATCATTGCATCTCTAAAATTTACTCTATTGTAAGCTGTTAAAATTTTGCAAAGTATCAAATATAACTGTATGAAGATATTTAGGACCTGTGAGCTGGCTCAATAGGTAAAGGCACTTTCAGCCAAACCTGATGACCTGAGTTCAATCACTGGCTCTTGGAGGAAGGAGAGAACTGATTCCTGACAGTGTAGATGCACCCAAACACATAAGAAAACCAAGTCTTGAGAATAATGACATCTACCTCATAAGGCCCTTAATAAGGATTAAATAGATTGGGTTTACAGTATACTTAGCAGACAGATACTTCATTATAATATCAGGATGGCCCAGATAAACTTCATAATATATAATGAATTATTGTTGAGTGTACCACAACAATAATTTTATAGCCCAATTTGCAGTCTTTATAAGCCATGAAACACTAAGAAGAAAAGCCAACATGCATGTATATCATCACTAATTTCATCTATGTGGTCTGCCCTTCACTGTGGGGTAACCGCACCTGTCCTCATTGTACACTTACAGAAGTTAAAGCTCAGAAGAGTAAAACAATTTAGTTATTTGCTGAGACTATATATATGAAAAGCAAGATGAGCCAGAAGCCAAGTCTGCCTTAAACTGAGGAAGAATGTTATAATGCATCTTGACTGTCATTCCCAGCATAGACTGACTACTCTTCCTGGGCTACAGTCATCCTCCAAATGGTTCCTGAACCCATGGTGGTTATCTTCATTTGCAGATACTAAAATCCTTATAAAAATAGCCTAGCCCAGTGTTCACATATAACCTAACATATCTTCCTATACGCTTTGAATCCTCTCTAGATTATTTATAATGCCTAGTACAACGTAAATGCCATATATAAATTGGTGTTGCAGTGTATTGTTTAGAGAGTGACAGAAAGTATAAATAATGTTTGGTAAACATTTTCCCCTGAGTATTTTCAATCCTCAGTTGAATCCATGGCTGCAGAACTCAGATGCAGAGAGCTCTGTTTGTGCTTATGTTCTCAAATGACGATGCACTCACCTCTTTTAGGATACTCCCCCTTTATAACTCCCTACGTCTATGAACTAAAATACATGCTCAGCACAGACTGTTTTCTGACCATATTATCACCATATGGATGCCCTGAAAACATTTACTGAGTACATGAATCAAAGTACTGTCTATTCTTATTTTATCCATAAAGTGCCCCTAAAAAGAATACTAAAAACAGAGAACCCAGAATTATTTTGCTGTGCTGGGGAAATTGAATCAGGACATCAGTGCTCTACCACTAAGCTCTAGCCCCTCAGAAATTTTAATTGCTTATGTTTGATATAAATCCACTTATATATTGAAAAGTTAATATAATGTGGAATAAAATTTCACTGAGAATAATTATGACTGTAGAATCCATGGTACCTGAACTTCTCCATGCCTCCTCTCTTCAAATGTCAATCTTTCCTTTTCTGCCTTCTGTTCCCACTGTAGCTTTTTCCAACTGTTCTGTCATAGCTACTTTCCTTCTTACTTGCTCCTTCAGCTCTTTATAATGATCCAGCTATGTAAACAGCATTGACATATTACTCACCTAAGTGAATTTGTATGACATCCTATACTAGCAGATAATCTTATCAAAATCTGGATTTATTCAAACCAGAAAATTAGCCATCTTCTCCAGGTAAAATATGTGAACATCATATAAAAAAAGTCTTTATTTGAAACTCTTCAGATAGAACAACAAAGTTTCAACCTATAATAAGGCCTCTCACAGAAAATCTTGAGAAAGAAGAATCTGGAGAAAATACTTTTTTCTAATTTTCTAGTCATGATTATTCCGGTTTATGCATATTGTGATATACAATTACCACAAAATAATTGAAAAAGACAAATGAAACTTTCATTGAAAGAATGAAAATTCTCAGCTACACATTTAAGTATTTATTACTAATTTATAATTAAATCTTGTATAAGGTGAATATTTATTTACCACTGAACACTTAAAATCATCTTAGTTTCTCCAGTCAATGAAGTCTCTCCAAAGCCACATATATCTGGGGGCTGAAGAAATGGCTCAGCAGTTAAGAATGCTGACTGCTATTGTAGAGGACCCAGGTTAAGTTCCCAACACCCACATGGCAGCTAACAACCATCCATAATTTCAGTTCCAGAGGATCTGACACCCTCTTGTCTCTTACATACATGCAGGCAAAACATTCATATATATATATATATGTATAAACATATATGTATAAACATATATATATATACAAAATTCAAAATTTTTAAAAATTTAAGTCACTTATATCTGACCTTTTAGGTTTTTATACTATCCAAGGAAAAACTGTTTTACCTTAAAAATGGTAACAATAACTTAACTTTTCTTACAACATTACATCAAGTGTCTTAGACTTTAATCCTATAATTTATATTCTAGGGGTAATCTCAATAAATTATCAGAAGTCATGCTTTAATTTTTTTTCTCATTAAAAAGATAAACTGAAACAATATAAAAATTCTTTCAATGTGTTCACCTGACTAGCTTCCAATTCAATGTGTCGCCCTTTAAGTAAGATTTCTTCCTCTATCTGCTTTTGAAAACTTCTCCATGCACTATTTAGGTGACCCAGCACTGTCTCCAGGGCTCTTATGTCTTCCTCCTCTTTTGATTTAAAAGTGTTTCAAGAGATCTAAAAAGGAAACATAAACCTTTTTTAAAAGTTAATTTTTTTGTCTTTTAGAGACAGGGTCTCTCTGTAGCCCTAGTTGTCCTGGAACTATGTAGACCAGGCTGGCCTCAAACTCACAGAGATCTGCCTGCCTCTGGCTCCCGAGTGCTGGAATTAAAGGCTTGTGCCACCATGCCTGGTTTGAAAATTAATTTAAAAAATATTTATTATTTTTATTTTATGTGTATGAGTGTAATCTGAATGGAGGTAGGTGCACTAATGTTATGCAATGCCCTCAGAGGTCAGAAGATGGCGTTGGATCCCCTGGAACAGGAGTAGCAGTTATTAGCCACCATGTGGGTGCTGGGAATTGAATCCGTGTCCTCTGCAAGAGCAGCCAGTGCTCTTAACTACTGAGCCATCTCTCCAGCCCCCTAATATAAGATCTTAATAGTAGAAGAAACATCATGGGAATATGAGAGCAGCGTACTATTTTGTAACTTTTCTGTATGTTTAGAAGCATTCCAAACTAAAAAAATCAATTTTCTTGGGGCATGGTGGTGTACAACTTTAATCCCAGTATTTGAGAGGCAGATGCAAGCAGATCTCTATGTGTTCCATGCCAGGCTGATCTATGTAGTGAGTTCCAGGACAGCCAAGGCTACACCAATTGCAATGGTGACAACCTGCTCAAGATCACACAAACAAACCAGACAAAACCCAGATAGAACTAGGGAAATGGATAAGAAGCCCCAACCTTAGCTGAGGAACTATTGGTAGCTAATCACTGGTGGATGAGGGAGAATTGATCTGCTTTAAGGGTGTGACACTAGATAGTCTGATCAGGATAGTCTGATCAGGATCTAGTGGGTGGATTTACTGAGGGACATTTGGGGACTTCATAGGCTTTAACATACATGACAGAATGCATGAAATCTGAAGGGGGAGTGGCTATGGGGAGATGCAGACAGGGGAGGGAGTCTAAATATAGTTAAGATGTATGAAATGCACAAAACTCAATAAAATATATATTGTTTAAAAAAAAGGTCTGCATATGCAATTGTGTTTTAAGGGTAAACTGCTGCCAGGTTTACTGTTATCTTGTTATTTGATTTCTATCGGTTTGTATCTCAAGTAAAATTTGATGGAAAATATCTCTCATGTTCTACTTTTAAAAATTAAAAGGCCGGGCTTGGTGGTGCACGCCTTTAATCCCAGCACTCGGGAGGCAGAAGCAGGCGGATCTCTGTGAGTTCAAGGCCAGCCTGGTCTACATAGTGAGTTCCAGGACAACTGGGGCTACAGGGAGACCCTGTCTCAAAAAGTCCAAAAAATACATAAAAATAAAAATTAATTAAAAAATTTTTAAAGTCAATTTCTGGGGCTGGAAATATGGCAGTCGTAAAGAGCACTGGTTGCTCTTATAGAAGACAGGGGTTCAGTTCCCAGCACCCACATAGCAGCTCACAACCATCTGTAACTCCAGTTCCAGGTGACCTGACAAACTCTTCTGGCCTCCATGGGCATTGCATGAATGGGTGTACTTACACACATGCAGGGAATACATTCATAAACAAAAAAATAAAACTAATTTTTAAAGTAAAGTCAATTTTTTTAAAAAAGCCAATTTCCAGGCTGGGAATATATCTTAGTGGTAAAATGCTTGCATACCAGGTGTATAGCCCTATGCTCAGTTTCAAGCACTTCTTCAAAATGTCAAGCACTGATAAAATGTCAACTCCCAAAGTGTCAATTATATTTTTATTTTATCTATCAATGTACATAAAACACTACTGGACCCGAGAGATGACTCAACACATAAAGGTACTTGCAGACAAATTTGATAACCTGAGTTCAATTCCTCAGACCCACATAGTAGGAGAGAACTGAATCCTGCAGGCTGTCCTCTGCTTTTCACACATGCACCTTAACAAGCATCCATGTGGTATGTACATACTTTTTTTTTTGGTCTTTTTTTGAGACGGGGTCTCCCTGTAGCCCCAGCTGTCCTGGAACTCACTATGTAGACTAGGCTGGCCTTGAATTCACAGAGATCCACCTGTCTCTGCCTCCCAAGTGGCTGGTATTAAAGCCTGCACCACCATGCCTGGCAAGGTATGTACATACATGTAAACACATACACACACACAAAATCAAGCCCCAACTGTTAATATCTATTTTATAAAACTCACTTCAATTCTTTTCCTGTTTGCTGTAGTTGTCTACTTAACATTCCATGATCCCTTTTCTTGGCTTTGTGTATATTTTCATGGTGAGAAAGAGTCTCTTTTATGACATTCAAATTCCTGTGTTGTAATTCAGTGTTCAGAAAATTAATTTTTTCCTAATTATAATATAGTTGGAAAAGCATCAGTTGTCTCTCATTTATTTTCAATCCTTCAAGGAGACTTTGGTAACATTCTGCCTATAAAACAGTACAAGAGAAGCTAAAAGACTATATATTTACTTAAGCTACCATTCATAATGCATCTAGTGTACCAATATATGATCATTAATGAATCTCTATCATTAAGAAAAAAATATTCTTGGCTGAGCGTGGTGGTGCAGGACTTCAATCCCAGCACTCGGGAGGCAGAGGCATGCAGATCTCTGTGAGTTTGAGGCCAGCCTGGTCTACATAGTGAATTCCAGGCCAGCTGGAGCTACAGGGAAACCCTGTCTCAAAAAGACTAAAAAAAATTCTTAGCTTTTGCTCCCCTCTCTTCATTTTTATTTATTTACTTTTAGATTTTATGTGTATGAGTGTATTGTCTGCATGTAGGTGCACCCGTGTCATGCAGTGCCCACAGAGGACAGAACAGGGTGTCAGATCCCCTAGAACGGAGTTACAGATGGTTGTTAGCCACTATGTGAATGCTTGGAATCGAACCTGGATCCTCTGGAAGAATAGTCGGTGCTCTTAACTGCGGAGCCATCTCCCCAGCCCTTTCTCATTTTTCAAAAGGGTCTCACATACCCCAACTAGCTTCAGACTTGTTAGATAGCTGAGAATGACCTTTAACTCTTGATTTTCCTGTCTCTCCATCCTAAGAGGTGGAAGTGTAAGTGCACACCACACCTAAGAGAGCATATTCCTGAACAAAAGTAGCATTGCTTGAAGGTTTCTGGATATTCTTAAATAACCCAGCAAACACTAGGGGTTTGTATTCATGGACTAAGTGACACGGTGGTGACAGCAATGAAGTGGACCCTACCAGCTGGATCCTCATTGTGACCTGGGAAGTGTTGTATGAATATTCAACCCTGGCCACTCTGTACTCAATGATTCCAGGTACAATGATGGCTATGAGAAGGAACTTTGCATTGACAACTCTAATAAGCCTATTAGAGTTTGAAGTTAGATCTGAATAAGAATTTTCTTAATATCTGTGTTAGTAAAGAAACAAGGGAGATTGCCTCACAAGGTAGGGTCTTAGTCAAGAAAGCTCTCAAGTAACATGTGAACAGTTGTCTGCCAAGAATAATTAGGAAGCTGGGCTATTCTAATTGTCCTTACAATTTTAAGTTCTGCAATTCTGTGAGCTACTTCAATATATTGGGAACATTACATTTGACTCACTGCCCACCCCTTTTCACTAACAAGACCCAGAACATATAGACACAATAATATAAAGAAACTGAGAAATATTCCTCAGGCGCATCCATCTTTCATTTATTTCTTCAAATGTTTACTGAGTACTACACACCAGATCCTGCGATCCTGCTCTATGTATTGGGAACACGGTAGAGAACAACATAGATCATCCCTGCTCTTATAAAACATATATTGTAGTTATTCTAATAGAGGAAGACAAACAAAGCAAATGAATAATAAATGAGTTAATTTCATACAGCAGGATGTACAAAAGAAACCAAATAGGGTAATAAAGTAGGAGGATAGGGACGCTCATTCAAACAGGCTTGTGAACAACAAATACATATACAAGGAATTTCTGAGGAAAAAACTTGAGTGACCAGGTGACAGCCACATAAAATCAGAAGTGTTTATGAGAATCCAATTATTTTCCATTAAGCCAGACACTGGAGATTATAAAACTATGTTGTTCTTTTCAGTGTTTTTTGGAAATACTTTTTCATTAAATATATTAGCTAGGCCAATACATTATGAGCTTGGTCAATTAAAAATTTTCAGTTTTAATTTAAAATATAGTAACTATTGGTAAATTCAATCCGTAGGAACAAAATCTTTTTGGGGTCCTCAATAGCTTTTCCAAGTATACATGAATCAAGATCCAGATGTCTGTGTGCTCTGCTGTACTGTCTTATGTGGAAATGCTTTAAAGAGTTTGTCTGGGGCCAGCAATATGGATCAATCAGGTAAGGGCACTTGCTCCCACCAAGCCTGACCGCTTGATTTGATCCCTAGTACCCAAATGGTGAGAGGAAAGAACTGAGTTGTCCTCTGATATCCATGTGCATGTATGTGTATGCATGCATGCATGCATACACACGCACACACACACACAGAGTAAATGTAGAAAAAGCACACTAAAAAAGTTTATTTGCTGAATGTCAGACTTTGTCTTACATTACTGACAGAATCTTCTGGTAGTCCAAATCCAGTAAGTAGACATTTAAACAGAAGGTTTTTATATGTAGTATCTACTTGACTGGGCACATCTTCAGGATACCTTACCTCGTCCTTCTCTATTTCTGCATGCTTGCGCTCTGTGGTGACATTTTTTTTTCTTACTGAAATGAAACTGTGTGTCTTCCTCAGCTTTTTGCAGCTTTTTCTTCTTTTCCTCATATTCTCCCATCAGCTCTCCTGAGGTTCTGATTTCCTCAAAAAACTAGGTTCTTTCTTTGGGCTTTTTCAAGGAAATGGACTCCACAGTTCCCTATTAGTAACCACAAAGCACAACAACACTGAGGTACAGCACATTTTAAAAACTATCCATCAAATAACCCTATAACTACTCACCTGAAAAACAAGGCAGCTCCGGGCTTTGACTATTATGCCTATCTTTTCCAACTGTGCTATGTATGCAGAACGACTAACAGGTTTATCAT